GGCAGCAGCTCTTGTGTGCGGAACTTATCGAAGACAAGAGGAAAGTCATCAAAGACCTCCAGCAGGTAACAAAAAGCACTCGTGTCCTCATGCCAGACGTCCATCGATGGCAGTGATGTCATTGTGGGTTTTTTGTTTTGTTTTTGGTTTTTGCCCAAGCAGGAGTTGAAGAGTGGAGACGATCGCTTTGTGAAGGACTTGAGGAGGCAGGCCAACGAGATTGATCAGATGATGCAACGCTCTGAAGAGCTCGTCAGTCTTCTGACACAGGCCTACAGGGAGGAGCTGGACCAGATTGAGGTGCGGTCACGTCACGTCTACGCAGGAGAAGCATTCGAGACAGTTGCGAGTTATTGGACAGGCACGGAGCCCGCACACACTTCTGAGCCACACTCGGCACTGTCTTCAGCCTCAGTTTTCCGTAGGGCTTCCACTGATTTATTGTTTATTTATTTTTGTTCCATGTCATTGATAAAGATTGACTTGATTATTTTAGCAGGACCTTTTATGATGAAATATTTGAAGTGTATTTATTTCAGAGCATGTTAGAAAGAAAAAATAAATAAATCAACATGCTCTAAATATTAAAAAAAAAAAAACTAAGTCCAAATGAACTCAATAACTAACAGTCATGAAAATCCCCTCAAACTCTTCGAGCCAGGTTGGCGCATGACACATCAATGTGAAAGCTAAAAGCATTCCCGCCGCGGGTTCACTTCTCACAGGCTGCTAACGTGTCACTAATGGTGCCCCTTTTTTCCAGAGCGTGTACCAGCAGGAGTATGACGTCCTGCTCACAAAAGACCAGACGGAATGGGAGCAGTGCGTTCAGGAGCTGTGGGACCAGCAGGTTAGGAGACAATCCCCCACCCCCTCCCAATTTCCATTTGTAATGCGTCAGCCACACGTGTATGTGACCGACCGGTGTGCTTGCAGCAAGAGCGGCTAGCAGAGAGGAAAAGGACCGTGGAGAAGTATGAAGCCAAAATTTACAACCTGATGATGGATCCGGAATATAAGTATGATGCGGCCAGGGCTGAGCACTTCGCTCAGCTTCAGGTGTGACGAGAACTTGGTCGAGGTTGATAAATTCAGTGTTTAACCCTTTCATGCACCTTGTAACCTGAAAACATGGTAAGCTGTTCACCGTTGTGACCGCTGTCCCTGAAAGGGTGAAGAAGTACGGTCCACGTTTCCATATCACGTTTTGTGAACTCTGAAGTGGTAAAGACCACAGATTGACAGTTTCACAGTGTATGTACCGTATTTTCCGCACTATAAGGTGGATTGAAACGTCTTCCATTTTCTTAAAAGCTCACAGCGCGCCTTAAAACCCGATGCGCCTTGTGTATGGTCATTACGGTAATATGTCGACCCCAAGCTGGTCCCTTGCTGGAGACATGCTTACAATGTTATAACTTGCTGTCGGTTCAGTGAACTGAGTCGCTGCTTTATTAAATAAGTTTTTGTTGCAGCTCCGAAAAAAGGAGATCTGTGGTGTTGGTTCTTAAAACGCACACTTTATAAATGGTTTTCACAGTCTCAATACAAATACAGGTACGTCTTTGTCCGTCTCCGTGCCTTCTCTTCTTCCGTTCGACTCGAGAGGCGTTCATGACGCCTCTGAAAAATGTAAATTAATGATTCCTTCAGTGAAACTACGAAAATTGAAAATAATGCATCAAACCAGGAAATCACAAAATAAATTCTATAGCCCCCCTACAGAATTTATTTTGTGATTTCCTCGTTTGTGAATACACAGCAAGGGAATAAATAACAAACACTTCTGAGACAGTCCAGTCTCCTACATTTTACTGACATCTGATCGTTCTGTTGGAGCTCCGCTCAAGGAAATGCCAAAATAAATTCTGTAGGGGGGGCTATAGAATTTATTTTGTGATTTCCTCGCTTGATTTTCTGTTTTGCTGCATTTTCAATTTTCATAGTTTCATTGAAGTAATTTGTTTTTCGGAGGCGGTCATGAACGCCTCGAGTCGAACGGAAGGAGCGTAGCTCCAACTGGTGGATGCATTGTCGATTGCGTTTGATATTCCAGTGCGTCTTTTATGGTACTACCTATATGTTAGCGTGGTGATGTCAACATTGATTGCTTGTGTTTCTAAATGAATTAGAATCGGGCCTCTGCTTAAATTGCAAAAAGAAATAAAAAAAAAAATACTGGATTATTTTCCAAAATTGTTCAGCCTGGTTGCAAGGTTAGCGTTTCGTCTCAAGAATTAGTCAAGTGTTGAACGAGTGCATTTTTTTTAGGCCCTGGAGAGGGAACATCAGCAGGCAATGGCCGACGGTGTGCTCGGTAATATCAACTACATCAAAGACAAGGATGACAGAGAGATGTACAACTTAGCCCACATGAAGAGCAGAATACTCAGGTGAATCGAAAAGCGCATGTCTCGACTTGTGGCGTCGAGGGAATATTCTGACACGGGATGATTGTACGTTTTGCGTTCCAGTCTGCAAACCGAGCTGAAGAACTTGCGGCGCACCTACTTGAGTGGCAAGAAACAATCGGAGGAGCAGAGCAGCCGTTTGTCCGGCGACTACAAACGTGGCATCGAGCAATACCAGTGCATGCAGCAGAGAATCAAGTGAGATGTTGGAGATGAGGGCTCAGTGATTTTGAAAAAGAATACAATTATTTTTTCCCCCCTCACTGTTGCAATAGCGATGTAATCGGCAATTATTTTTTCAATATTTATTGATTTTTTTTTTTTTACTTGCACCAGGCACTTTGCTGTCTCTGATGCCAAGCAATTTGAGGAAACATGGCGGATGCTTGACAAGGAGGTGAGGCAACAAGCCGAGAAGGCTTTACTCATCGACCGCATGATTTACAAGCAGCACCTCAATCTGCCCTGGGCGAGACCTCGAGCGGCTTCGTCCTTGGGACTGTCCGATCCAGACCACCTTTGGAAACAAGCCAGCGCGGAACAGTCTGCGTCGCTGCCGGAAAGCTCTGCTGGGATGGATGGAGCTGCTGCGGCACCGGCGGAGGAGAAGCTGCCCTTGGATACCATCAAGGAACTCATGGAGTTGCTGTGTGACGAGTTGGTGAGGCCCAGACTAAAGTTGGTCACGATCCAATCCTGTCAATATCGGCCTCGATTGTTGAAACGGTCTTATCCTGCTTTCAGGTAGAAATTCGTAACATTTTTTTGGTGGCTTTCCTATTTTGTTCAGTCAGCTTGACTAAAAAGCTCATTTTAACTACCGTAATTTCCAGACTATAAACTGCGACTTTTGTCACACGCTTTCAACTCTGCGGCTTATTTAATGAAGAGGCCTATATAAAGATTTTTTTTTTTTTATGTGTGTACAAAAGGTTTTTTCCTTTAAAAATGGAGGTGGTGCGGCTTGTATTCAGGTGTGCTCTGTACTCCGGAAATCACGGTATTTTTATTTAATTTGGGATCTTTTTTCTCTCTCAGGGCTTCCTGACGGAGGACCGACTCCAACTGTTGGCAACCTTGGACAAGAAGGAACAGAATGTCATAAAGCTTGAGACTCTTCTCCAAGTGTGTTCAAGATTTTTCTTATTTTTTTTTACCCTTTGACATTGACTGCACAGCCACCAGACTGTGCCGCGTTTGTTGGCTTCTGCAGTTGTCAAACTGCTTCTGGAGTGTATTTTCGTGCCTCCACTAGATTTTGGGGATTGAAGAGGAGGATTTACCCAGGTTGGCTAACTTTATGCTCAAGTACCAGCAGAGGGAGCCAGCTGAGGTGAGGAGCCACTCTCTGAACATTGACTGGAATTGCCTTTTCAATCAAAGTTTCTCCTCTTTAAGGGTGGTTCTCCTGGTTTAGATGAATCCAGCGACAAAACACAGGAAGGTGCCACCAGCTCGCCGTGTCATCCCAACCACATCCTGCCTGCTTTGAAGGAGTTCTTGAAGCATCACACTCGCTTCAGGTTGGCAAGAATAACCTCAAAAAGTACCGGTCGTTGGGAGTTTTCTGAGTTGCAGTTGAGATTTTGCTTCTCTGGAAAGGAGGAGCCATGCCACTGGGCAGCCTTGCTACTGGAGCGCAGACATGTGGGATTCCTCGGCAGACGAAGCCTATTGGGAGAGTTTGGCCAACGTCATCCCTGAGGATCAACTCAAAGTGTGGGAGTCGGCGGAGCTCGTCCTGAAGAAGCACATGTACGCAAGTGGGAAGCTAACACGCGTGCGCAAGACACATCGTCAAGTCGTCTCCTTCCCTCTGTCCTCCAGGGCGGTTCTCACCAAGATATCGGATCGCATCCCTGAAATTGAGCGCCTGGAACAGCAGAACGCAGAACTTCGCAGGCTCCTGCAACGATCTGTTGACTCATGAGTTTTGGACGTTTGTTTTGACGATCATCTGCCTTTTTATCCGGAATTCCGAAATCGCGTTGAAATAGCTGCATTAACTGCAGACAAAATTTGGAACAAAAAAAGCTATAGATGGTCGTTTAGGAAAAAAAAATCTTACTATTCATGGTCGTTTAGGGCAGGGGTCCCCAACCTTTTTTGCCCCACGGACCGGTTTATGTCAGACAATATTTTCACGGACCGGCATTTAAGGTGTGGCGGATAAATACTACAAAAGAATATGGTATGAGCTGCATGAACACTGTGTTTTCGAGAGATAATAATAAACACGAGGAGCGTCTAATCTGGCCGCAACACTCTGATCACTATGGTAATGTTTAATGCCTTCAAAGTACGATACAACGCAAATTGAAAGTGCATGAAAATGTCAACTCACCACAATGCTGAATCAGTGCGAGCCCCGAGCTTGATTTTCTGCAACCGGGCGGTCCCATCTCGGGGTAATAGGAGGCAATGACACCTGAAGTGTGTGCTTTATGTCGAGTCTACTTCATAATTTTGTTTGTCGCCGTTGCTGCACAAAACCCCCGCCTCACACAGGTAGCATGTCGGATATAGCAACAGTGCTATTGTGGCGATCTCAAAGTATTCAGCCATAACTTGAATCCAGAACACCGGCAGAGTTGTTGTCTCGAACCTACTTTTTAAGGCCGCCGTCATTTGCGATCTCCAGCAGTTTATTTTACTCATTTAGCAAGCTTCGGCGTTTTGTTTTTAGCGTAATCAGTCACGTGACAGAGAAACGTGGTTTGACGTGTGCCAAGAGTGACACAGACGGATGTAACGGAGAATCAGGTAATTTTTCAAAATAAAATATCTTTCGTATTCCAAAATAAATACAACGGAATTAATGTAAATTCTTCTTCGCCCGGTACCAAATGGCCCGTGGACCGATACCGGTCCGCGGACCGGCGGTTGGGGACCCCTGGTTTAGGGAAAAAAACGGCCGACAAAACATGGTCATTTTTTGGGGGTCTAAAAATGACTGAGTACACATGGTCATTTTTTTTCTGCTAAAATTGCCTTACTATACATGGTTGGTTTTTTTGGGGGTTAAAAACGCCTGGCTATACGTGGTCGTTTATTTTTCGACTAAAAACGCCACATGGTCGTGTTTTTCGCAAACGGCTGACAAAACAGTCGGTTTTTTGAAGCTAAAAACACCTGACTATACATGGTTGTTTTGTAAGTATACTGTACATGGTCATTGTTTTGGGCTAAAAACGCCTTACTATCCATGGTTGGGTCCCCCCCCCCCCCCTTTCAAAAACACCCGAATACACATGGTCGGGTTTTTTTGGGCTAAAAGCGCCACATAGTCGTTTTTTTCGGCAAAAAAATGCCGAACAATACCTGGTCCTTTTTTTGGGAGCTGAAAATGCCTTACTATACATGGTTGTTTTATGGGAATACATTGTTGTTGTTTTGGACTAAAAACTCCTTACTGTAACTGTTTTGGGTTTTTTTTCCTGTTAGAAAAGCCTTACTATACATGGATGTTTTTTTTCAGCTAAAAACGCCTTACTATACATGGTCGTATTTTTTGGGAGCTAAAAATGCCTTACTATACATGGTTGTTTTATGATAATTCATGGTCGCTGTTTTGGGCTAATAATGCCTTCCAAACATGTTCTTGGTTTTGCTGTTCGGTGCTTTCTACCGTCTTTGTTACAGGTTTGTTGCTTGACTGTTGTATATGTTAGTTGCTCCATGTACAGCACTTTGTATGCAGCGATGGCTGATTGAAAGTGCTCTATAAATACAGTTGAGATGAGATGGTCGGGTTTTTTTCAGCTAAAAATGCCACATGGTTTTTTTTTCAGCCAAAAATGCCAAACGATACATGGTCTTTTTTGGGGGGTAAAAACGCCTTACTATGTATGTACTTGGTCGTTTTTTTCGGCTAAAAACGCCTGACTATATACATGGTCGTTTTTTGGAAGCTAAAAATGTTTGACTATACATGGTTGTTTTATGGGTATACATGGTCCTTGTTTTGGGCTAAAAACGCCTTACTACACCTTTTTTTTTCTTTCTATGAAAAATGCCTGACTATACATGGTCGTTTTTTTTTCAGCTAAAAACGCCTGACTATACATGGTCGTTTTTTTGGGAGCAAAAAATGCCTTACTACACATGGTTGTTTTATGGTTGTACATGGTCGTTGTTTTGGGCTGAAAACGCCTTACTATACATGGTCGGGTTTTTGCCGGCCAAAAATACCAAACGCTACATGGTCTTTTTTGGGGGGTAAAAACGCCTTACCATATACTTGGTCATTTTTTTTCAGCGTAAAAATGCCTTACGACACATGGCTGTTTTATGGGTATACATGGTCGTTGTTTTGGGCTAAAAATGCCTTGCTATCTATTTTTTTGGGCCAAAAAAAATCCCTACTATACATGGTCTTTATTTTTTTTTCAGTTATTGTAAAAAGTCTGATAATACATGGTCATTTTTTTGGGGGGGGGGCAAAAAAAAGCCTTACTAGACACGGTTGTTTTATGGGTAAACATGATTGTTTTGGAATAAAAACAACTGACTATACATGGTCATTTTTTTCGGTTAAAAATGCCTTACTATACATGGTCGTTTTTTGGGGCTAAAAATTTCGGCTAAAAACGCCTTACTATACATGGTCATTTTTTTCGGTTAAAAATGCCTTACTATACATGTTGGTTTTTTTGGGCTAAAAACGCCTTATGTTTTTTTTTTTTTTTTTCCCGGCCAAAAATGCCAAACAATACATGGTCTTTTTTTGGGGCTAAAAACTCCTTACAACACTTGGTCATTTTTTTTCGGAGCTAAAAATGGCTTACATTTTTTTTTTCAGTTAAAAAACGCCTTACTATAACATGGTCGTTTTTTTTCGGCCAAAAATGCCTGACTATCCATGGTCTTTTTTTAGAGGCTAAAAAGGCCTTACTATACATGGTCATTTTTTTTTTGGCCAAAAACGCCTTAGTGTACATGTCAAATACGTCTATAGTGCAGGACAGGTCACCGTCACTGGTAGTGTAGAGGTATACAAGCTGGTGTTCGGTCCAGTCAACCCCGGTTCAAACCCTGCTCAGTTTTGTGTGAAAATACAACACTTACTTTTTCCTGGAAACCCTCCAAAGTGCAGTCAAATACGCCTATAGTGCAAGACAAGTCACAGTTACTGGTGGTGTAGAGGTATACACACGGTGTTCAGTCCAGGCAACCCCGGTTCAAACCCCGTGCAGTTATGTGTGAAAATTCAACTTTTACTTCCTGGAAACCCTTGAAAGTAAATGTCAAATACGCCTAAAGTGCAGGACAGGTCACAGTCACTGGTTGTGTAGAGGTATACACACCGGCTTCGGTCCAGGCAACCCCGGTTCAAACCCTGCATGGTTATGTGTGAAAATAAAACAGTTACTTTTTCCTGGAAACCCTTGAATGTGAATGTCAAATACGCCTATAGTGCAGGACAAGTCACAGATACTGGTGGTGTAGAGGTATGCACGCGGTGTGCAGTCCAGGCAACCCCGGTTCAAACCCTGCATGGTTATGTGCGAAAATACAACAGTTACTTTTTCCTGGAAACCCTCCAAAGTGAATGACAAATACGCCTATAGTGCAGGACAAGTCACAGTCACTGGTAGTGTAGAGGTATACACGCCGGCTGCGGTCCAGGCAACCCCGGTTCAAACCCCGCTCAGTTATGTGTGAAAATACAACACTTAGTTAATTTTTCCTGGAAACCCGACAAGGCGTTTTTAACCCGAAAAAAACGACATAGTACAGTAAGGCGTTTTTAACCCGAAAAAAACGACATAGTATAGTAAGGCGTTTTTAGCCAGAAAAAAACGACACAGTACAGTAAGGCGTTTTTAGCCAGAAAAAAACGACATAGAATAGTAAGGCGTTTTTAGCCGAAAAAAACGACCATGTATAGTAAGGCGTTTTAAAGCCCGAAAAAAACGACATAGTACAGTAAGGCGTGATTAGCCCAAAAAAAAACGACATAGTATAGTAAGGC